TAAAAATTACATGCAAAGCATTTCGAAATTTAAAAATTATAGGAGTTTCAAATGGAAATTAAAAATTTAGTACATTATATAGGTTTGACTGCCTGCTTTAAATAAATTTTTTGTCAAATATGCAAATTATTTAAAAAAAAATTTAATTAAAATAATTTAAAATTTTGATTTTTTTTCGTGGTTGTTTTGAAGATTCAATTTTTTATAATAAGATAAACTTTTAAGATGAATTGTTCGTAAATGTTATTTTTACATTATGCTTAAAAAAATTGAATTATAGCAATAAATGTAAGTATATTATTAAACTCAAAAAAAAATATAACTTTAAAAAATTTCAGAAATTAGTTTAGCATTGATTTAAATAATATTTTATTTTTTGTATTTCAGTAAATTTTATATATTTATATTAGTGCCCGTTGAAATATTAACTAGTTTTTGTTAATATTTTAAAATAATACTTTTATTGTATTTTAGTAAATTTTATTTTCGCGCTTTTGTTTATTTTTAAATATATTTTTCTTTTATTTTTTTTTCAAAAATATATAAGTACTAATTAAATAGAAATACAAGAATAGACCCATTTTTTCTCATTTTTTCATATTAGTTAAATATAATCAATCCAAGACAGTTATTTACATAAAAAATTAGATTATAAATAATATTTACTTAATTACAATATTTAACTTTTTAACTAAGTAAAACAAAAATTAGTTATTTTCAATATTTTCAAGGTATATATTTAGCACGTTCATTTTAATAATAATTATTTAATTATATCGAATAACCTTTAAATATTTGTAATAATAATAATTATTAAAAGTAAAATTTGTTTTTTTTTTTAACAATATAATAAACTTTTAGATTTATATAGCGATTTTTTTTATTTTCACATAAATGGAAGAAATTAAATAACGTATAATTTAGAATAAATTTAAAATTGGGATTTAATTTTCGTTTGTTCAAGTGAATTATCCCTTTTAACTTTTTTCTAGTAAACGTGAAAATGATCACTTGTATAAAATGATCAAATTATAATATATTAATAATTTTTAATAGAAACTTTTGGTTACTTTTAGGCATACTGTTTGATAATATTGAATTGGAGACTTACCTTAAGCATTATCACGTTTATTCATTTATGTGATTAATGTAAATTATAGTATTACAAGAATAAATTAAAAATTACCATTAATGTGAACTGTTAAAAAAGTCTTTGAATGAAAAATATAGTTTTCTCCAAAATATTTTTTGAAAAGTTTAATAAAACAAAATTACTGAATAGAAAAAAGTTTGAGTACGCAACACTTTTATTTTAAGAAATCTAGAAACAAATTATGCACCGATAAAATTTAAAATACAAAAATTTTAAAATTAGAAAAAGTAGTTTAGAATTTCCTTTGAAGGAATAAGCGTTCACCGAACATAAATTCGGATTTATATTACGAAAATGTAATGTAATGTTATATTCAAAATTGTTTCGAAATGTATAATAATTTCTAATTTCATTTTGCAAAGTATCATGGAGATAAATAAATTAAGCAATTTTAACTTTTTAAATTTTGTTGTATATATATACAAAAGTTATTAATTTTATATATATGTATATAATATGTAAATATATACTAATTCCTTTTTATTAATTTAAATTATATTTAATTATATTTTTTAATATTTATTTTGTAACAGCTTTGGTTTATAGCCTAGTGATATAATAATATGGTTGATGTATGTAAGAAATGTTTTTATTATTTTAAAATTATTATATTAATTTCTTTATATGTGTGTTTATATACAGATATACCTACATTTATTATAGTATAATTATACATTTATTACATAACTAATTATCAAAACATTTTTCTATATTTTATATATTTAAGAAATTTTATAAGAAAAAAAAAACAATAAAGGGATAGAAGAAAAACTTAATATACACTTTAAAAACATGTAAGTACATATTGATGGATAATAATATGTACGGCTTAAAAACTTATAGTGCATTTATTTCATTTCCCAATTTTTGATAAGGCTAGAACGCTTTGATATGGAAGCTTCAAGAATTTTTAAACTTTTTTGTAACTACTGCGGAAATATTAAAAATTAGAAGAGAAGCATAATAGAAAAATGTTGGATATTAGGGAATTTATCGAGAAAGTTTTTTTGTACATTTTGTGCTGTTTTATAATTAAAAATTTTAAGGCATTCACAAATCTGGAAAGATAAAATATTCTGTTTCCATTAACATGTGAGTATGTGTAAAAAAATTTTTGAGATTTGATTTAATACTTGCAGTGCATGTCTGAGTTTTCGACAATTCCCACATTTATAAAAATTTATTCAATTTTTTTACGTGTATGTATATATGTACATAAAAATAAGTTTTTAATAATTAAATTTATTTATAAAAAACGATAAAACGATAGCAAAAATTATGCTTTACATTCACACAAAATGTCTCATTTTTTCAGATTAAATGTTTAATTTTCATAAGCAAATTTTATAAATTATTAATTTTGATTATTTTGAAAAAATATGAAAGCTAATGTTTATAAATTTAAGAAATAAAAATAAAAACTTAGTTTCTTAAGATTTGTTTGATATAATATCATAACCTTATTTAATATTTATTTTGGTTTACACGTTTAGATGTTTTTCATTATCCGCTCTATAAATCAGCCAAATTATTTTGAAACTATTATTTTTTATCAAAAATTTTTTATAAAAAATCAATATTCAACAGAGTAATATGCTTAATTTTTTTCAAAGTTCAAACAATATGTATAGTATTGTGCGTTTTATACAAAAGTGTCATAAGTTCGTTAAAATATTTACTGCAATATGATAGCCATATATTGTTCTTATTTTCAAAATTTTAAATATGAAATTATATTTTTCGCAGTGCTGGAAATAGTCTTTAAAAGATCGAAGTGTCAGATAGTACTTGGGTGGCAAGACTTGTGAGACCTGCATACCAAATTTTTAAAAATTACATATTTTGTTATGCAAACGTGCCGAGGAGTTTTTATAAGGGAATTAAACTGAAAAACAACTAACTTTGTGTAACAATTTCCAAAAATTATCTATATTATGTACATACTTACATACGTATGTGTGTAAGTATCAATTAATTTTTATTTCTATGAAAAAATGATATCAGTTCAATTTTACAAGTGTAAACGTTTCAGTTGGTATAAACCAGCAGAATAATACCCTGTACTTTGACAATCTGAATTTAGAAATTTGTTTTTGAAATATCTAGAATTAGCTTTCATTGTTAAATGGCAATTACCCGAACCTGTTAAACCACTCATTAGAAACTTCCCAGATATTACGTCTGACCTATAAGTGGTCCAAAAATGTTAAAACTACATTCATGAAACAACCAAATATTTTTCCAAACATTTAAAAGTTTGTTTTGGAGTTGTATGGTAGCCACCCGAACCTGTCAAGTCATTCCACCACAACTTCAAAGCTGTATATGACCTTTAATTGGACGCACGACTGCTGAATTTCATGAATCTAACTCTTTTTTTTTGAATATTTTAAACTTGCTTTTGGAGCTACCCGAACAGTAGTTACCCGAACCTGTCAGGCCATTCTACCAAAATTTCTACACCTGACCTGAAATTGTATACACGACTGCCGTGTTTCATGAATATAGCTTTAATTTCTCTAAATATTTGAAATTTTGGTTTGGAATTGTACAGCAGCCACCCGAACTTGTCAAATCATTCCACAAAAGCTTGAGGGTTATATCTGATCTGAAATTGGACCCACGATTGCCGAGCTTTATAAATTCCGAGTTTCGTGAATTAATTAAATTATTATTTTTTCAAATATTTAAAATTAACTTTCGGAGCTGTATGTCAGCTACACGAACCAGTGCAGACATTCCATTGTAATTTTCAAAATATATCTACAACGAAATTCAACACACCTTTACAGAATTTGATATTAATATCTTTATTAGTTTTTGAAATATTTAAACCCGTTTGAGTTGTATGGTAGCTATTCGGTTCCCTTGTTCAAATTGGTCTAATTACAAAAGCAGCCGTCGTTAGCACAAAAGCACCCACTTGAGAAAGTGTAGTGTTTATTGCATTATTCTTTTTTGACTTATTGTTCGATCGAACAGATGGGCATGTCTAAATTCGGATTCCTTCAAGTGGATTCCACACCAAGTGGTTATTTATGGTATAAAAAAAAAAACATAATTGAATTTTGTACGAAGCTTGAAATTAACTGTGTAACTATACGGCAACACTTGCATTATTGTAAAAAATTTAGGCTTTTATTAAAACAAATGCAAATGATGAACAATCTAAAATAATTCATTCTAAAATTTTTAAATTTTTTTCCCTAAAAACTTTTGAATAAAAAGAATAAAATATAAAAATGTTCAATTCCACGCGTGCCATAGGAAATTCGAAACATGCCAAGTTTGGCATGCGTGCAAATAATTTGCCATTTAGGAGATAGTATATGTATACGATATCTATGTCCATCAATAACGTGAATGGGCCACAAATTATCCAAAGAAAAGTTTGCCAAAATTAGTATTTATTTACAGTTGTATAAATTTTTTATTGAAATACGCGTTAATACGCGTATACTAACCATATTAAACGCGTATACTAACCATACGCGTATATTAACCATACTAATGTATGGTTTGTATAAATACAGCAGAGAATAAAATGGTGTATTTATATATCATAAAGAATTAATACGGTATTGAATTACAAGAACAATTTAGTGAAATTTAGGGGAAAGAATTACTTATCAGGTTAACATAAAAATCTACTAAGCTTTTTGTTAAAACTAATGAGGTATTATTAAAACTAATTGTGAGTTTATTTTACATTATAGTTTCATATATAACAGTTTAATGGTAAAGAAATATAATTATTATATTTTAAATTATATTGATTTATATACGCATTTGATTTTACATGTATGTATATTTTTATATACAATTTCATAATAAATTATATTAATAATTCATGCTTAATAATTTTCATTTACAAATTAAAAGGATAATATTTATTTTTAATTTATTTATATAATGAACTTGTTTTTTAACAATAGCTATATTTTTTTTAATATTTTATTTAACTATTTTTCTTAAATATGTTTCTTTTCAATTTCTTACAATTAGGTTTCTGTATAATCATAATTTTCTTTCATTTTCTCTTTATAATTTATATAGGTACATATGTATGTATACTCAATAAACATGTACATATACACATATTTGTATACATATAATTTTAGAAATTAAATGTTTATTTGATAATATTCAATTATTTAATTTAATAAGTTCTTTTTAATATATTTTAAAATTCAATGAATTTGTGTATAGTTTTTGTTTATAATATTTATAAATTACTAAGAGATGATGGCACTAAATGATAAATTGATAAAATTGAAGAAACTAAAATTACTAAAGGCATAAAAGTACTAGATAATGTTACACGTGATGCTGCATCACCTTCAGGTTGCGATGATGGACTTTCAATACCAAATCCAGCTTTTAAGACTTCATCTAAAATGACAACAGTGTAGAATTAATAATTTGGAAATTATATAAATGGAATAACAAATCAATATATAAAATATAGGTAGCTGAAATATAACACAACATTAAAATTTTTCTATTTTTGAAAATGCATTTTACATATTTAACTTAATTCTTTGTTTAAAAGTTAAAATTTCTTCAGAGCTGTCTAAATTTTTATTTCTGATCTTTTTTTATTGTTTTTCGTGTATTAATAAGTTATGCATTTCCGAAATAAAATAATAGAAGCGTATTATAAAACATGGTTTTATAAAAAAGCATTGTACAATTAAGTGCTACAGAACATTAAACAAATAGTGAATAAAATTGGACAAAAACAATTTTTTAAATAAATAAATTAAAATTTGCAATTAAAAAATGAATAATGAGTTTTTTCTATGATTTTAGCAAGACATAGTGAAATTACGATATTTTTACGATGCAAAATTACGACAGGTAAAAATTTATACACAATATAATAATTAATAAGTAAATTCAAACTTTAGAGGTTTAATTTTAACAATATTTAATATTTGACTTTTCACTTTTCAAAAATATAATTGTAGTAGATATAAGTTATTGTAAAATTTTTACCTATATACTAATTCTTGCAGAGTATTTTATGGTTGCATTTTATGAAGTACACTTTAAGAGATGTATATTTTTACTAACAAAAGGATTTAATTTAGTTTTAATTGTAATTCATACAGTGATGTGTCTTATATTTATTTTGTTTTCGAATTCTTGGTATATTTTAAATCTTTTGTAGTAAAAATATTAAAGAACATTTATAAAAAATGCAAATAACTCACACAAAATTTAGAATACAATCAGGCACTAAGCCAGAAATTGTAAAAATTTTAAGTAACTTTTCAATTTGTTTAGCATACAAAATTAATTTTCTTTTGTTTAAGACCTCAAAAAAATTTATTTCAAAATTTACCTTCATTATCTGTAGGTTTAACAATATCTAAAGGTGCTGGTAATTCTGTTGTTATTTCAATTTCAACAGGAGCTATAGGTTAATTAATATTGGTATTTGGTTTTTTATTCAAATTTTAATTTTAGAAGGACGTTTAATACAAGTTATTTATAAAATTGTATTTATATTGATACATACATATTTACAAATATTTACAATATTTGTATGTATATAGGGTGTTCGGAACTCAATGGCTCCAAAGCAGGATGATAGAACGACTTCAGACGAACAAAAAATACCTAGTGACATTTTTGTTTTTGGTCCCTTGTTCTGGAGTTAAGGGGCCCCAAAATTTCAATATGCGAAAATATTTCAATTTTCACATTTTATTTTACAGCTCGAGAAATGTGGAAGATAATTTAAAAGCTAACATTTTCCTTCTAACTGTATACTTGTGATTCCAAAGATTTTTTTCAGTTTCAGAGTTATTCAAGTGCAAAGTCAAAATTTTCAAAATTTTTTTTTTCTAAATTTTGATTTAACCATCATTTACTTATAATTCAATGTTTTTAACCCATCGGTTTTTTTACAAAACGAAGAGTCTTGTATTCCGAACTTCTTTCTGATACAACATAATGGGAGAAAAATTTTAGAAATAACATGTTCATCAGGCGAAAACCTGAGGTCAAAACCTTAGAAAATTAACTAAAACAAAGTATTTTTCCAAAGGAAACAAATTTTTTTACCTTTATAGGATGTTATTTATAAAATTTTTAGTTGTTTTCCCACATTATGTTACATATATCAAAATAAAGGTCAGAATATAGTGCTCTTCTTTTTGTAAAAATAACGGATAGGTCAATAAAGTAAAATTATTTGAAAATGACAGTTAAACGAAATTTTAGTAAAAAAATTTTTGAAAAATTTTGAGTTTGGCCTTGAATATTTCCGAAACTAAAAAAGTCTTTGCAACCATTGGTATACGGTTAGAAGGAGAATTTTATTAGCTTTAAAATTAATGTCAAAGTTGGATTTACCTTTATATTTCCAAAGTTATAAATAAAAATGTGAAAATTAGACCGTTTTCGCATATTTCAAATCATAGACCCCATAACTCAAAAACAAAGCCCGAAAAAAAAAATGCCACTAAATTTTTTTGCTCGTCTGAAGTCATTCTATTATCCTAATTCGGGAATACAATTGAGTCGCGGACACTTTGTATATAAATGACTACTCTTTTTTACAATAAGTATAAATAAACATATTAGGTATATTTCAAATAATAAGAAAAATTATTTACCGTCTTCTGTTATAATAAAATTAAATGGTTTTGAAAATTCTGACCATCCATACTGATTTTTTACTCGTACGCGTGCTTCCCACTCACCGATTGGTACTTCTAATTTATGATGAATTTTCCAATTTGATTGACCATCTTCATGTTTTCGTGTTGAAAGCGCTGCTTCTGTCATCCAATCTGTTGTCTAAAATACATATGTATCGGTGGTGTTAAAAATTTGGTTTGAAGAATTAAAATTTTAAAGATTTTTATTATAAACTGGATGAGTGTTAATAAGCATAAGCCCTTTATAGGAACAACCTATATAAATTGTATTGTAGTCACCAGCTAATTTCCGCTACTGTTAGAATTTGTACTAGGAAGACCTGAATGTTATTCAATTTTAATAGGATGAACAAGTCTCAAAACACTGCGATCAATGGCGAGTGTCTTCCGATAAATTGAAACTTCTGTTTTCAGTGGCAATGTTCTCTTCAGTATATGACCATTCCTGCTCATTAGGTTGGTATTAAGATTTCATTACTAAAGTGAAATTGTATAAAAGCAAGGTCACCAATAAAACAATGAACGAGGTGTGAAGTTGTCGAAAAAAAACATCTTAGAGAACGCCTTAACTAGAGAGGTATCACGATTCTTAATGTATTGAACAAAATCATGGCTAGGGGTTGGGGTGTGGAAATACTCAAAGCAGACATACTTATCGATTAAAATCCCACAAAACCTGATCCCAGAGGGATGGCAGTAGAAAAAACCTGACTGGGTTAATAGCCACATAGCTTATGACTAAATTTGAAATTTCCAAGACGTTAAGGGAAGTCGCCAGTCAGTGGCAAAAAAATCACTTAGCGAAATTAATGAATCGGTTAGAAGAATTGACTGTTAGTAAATTATTTAAAAATTAATTATGAAATAATTTTTGATCCTTCTGTCGTTGGCAATCATGTTAATTCATTACCGACCGCATTACATACAATAAGGGAGGTTATGTGATGGCAACAAGTTTTCGGTGGGAACGCACTTCTCAATAGCAGGGAATCCATAGAGTCCATAGCGTAAATAAACTATTTTTAGAGAGGTGTCGGTCTGTCGGCCTGTCTATCTGTTTGTCTATGTGTGATCGCTTGTATCTCAAGTTCGGCTAAACCGATTTTTATGAAATTTTACATGTGAGTTTGTTTTGGCTATGTCACGGGTTGATCAGGCCATGGAAACTGGACTTTTTTGCGGGCTAATTTTACATTTTTGCCTATATAAAGAGCAATAATCTACCAATTTCCTTGAAATTTAATATTTAAATTTGCAGTGTTAATACAATGAACATTTTTTGGAACGATCAGGGCTCGGAAACCAAATTGACGTCCGATTTTACATTTTTTACCATATGTGCTCTGGTTATTACCAAAACTAACTTGCGAGCTTTTTAGCGAATTCGGATAGCACAAAGCGAAACTCTACTAAGAACTAAATTTACATTTTTCTAGGTATGTTAACTGAAAGCTTACTAACGCCCTAAAAGTTGGAAAAAAGTGTTTAGAAGACATCTGTAACACTATGGATATAGAGAGTCAAACAAAAACTTTTAATGACTCCAATTCGGTGATTTCTGATGGCATTTCTAATCTTGTTTTTAAAAATATCTCTTTCAGGTCTTTGATGTTCTCACGTATGTGAGAATACTTTTGTCTTTATTTATAATTAAGTCTTTAAAGAAGCTTTTCCTAGGTGTTTGAAAGAAGCGACGGTAATCCCTTTATTTAAGGAAGGTGATTCGAGTTGTGCTAATATTTACAGACCTGTTTCTCTTCTTCCGGCTTCTTCAAAGGTTTGGGAAAGAATTATGGAATGCAAATCGTATTCTTCTTGAATAAAATGAATTTGGGTTTCTATAAGGGAAATTGATCTGAGCTCTGTTTTGGGTTCTATTCTTTTTTAAATTTACATTAACTCCTTATTTCTTCAACACTTTTATGGTAAACCTACCGCCTCTTTAGAAGATACTGTTTTTAGTAAAAATGGCTCTGAAATTATTGAACTTGAAAACTTTGAGTTGAACATTTTAAGAAATTGGGTTTTTAATAATAAATTACAGCATTTATTCTTGTCCAGTTCCTGACTATAATTTAAAATTTCATTCTGTAAGTTGTAATTCTAATGTCAATAAAGTCACACCTGCTATTTAAAGGATTATTTTAATAATGTTATCAGGTTCGCCTCAAACATAAAACGTTTGTTTGTATTGTTCAAACAATATTACCTCAATGGTTTACTATGCCCTTTTCTATTTAATATGGAATAGTTTGCTGACGTAGTTTATACTTTAACAAGTTGCAACCGCTATTAACAAGCCAAAAACATGCTATAAGGTTAATTTACTGCAAATCTTGTTCTAATTCTAGTTTTCACTTATTTGAACAAAAAAGTCTTTATTTATTTAGGATATTAAACTTCTTTTTTTTCGTTCCAAATATCTCAATGCTAGATATTCTGAAATTTATAATTTGAGAATATCTAGTATTGATTAGATTATCTTATTTTTACAATTCTTATAATATTTTGGCGCGTGCAATTTTGTAGCAGGCGCATTCTTTCTATATAAGGAGCATTCCTTCATTAACGTTTTTTTTTTGTTTTTAATTTCTTTTAATTAGTTTAATTTCTTTTAATCATTATGAAGTGCAATTTATGCAATGTTATGTTATGAACATAGAATTAAAAATTCAATGTTCTCTTTGCAAGAATTTTGTGCATGAAAAATGCGCCAAATTTTGTAAAATTGAGTTATAGTTTTTGGAGAAATCAAAAAACAATTGCAAGTGCAGAACATAAACTACAAGTAACTGTTGAAGCGGCTCTGTTTTGGAAAAGCCAATACACCTTCGTCCAACAGTGTGTCTGTGTATTCTTCGAATTTCGGGTATTCCATCTCTCAATCTCGGCATATAAACTTGGTTACTGTGAGAAATTGGGAGTGAGGAATTGTGAAAGAGTCATTATGTATTGAGAGTGAGGAATTACATAAATGACTCTCTTATAGCTTTTAAGCGTCAGCTGTTTAAAAAGGTGATGGAGGTGGGAAAAAGAAATATTATAAATATTTGAGGGTGAGAGATTCTAATATTTAAAAAAAACAGAAGACCTTACTGGTAATTAATTTAAATTTAAATTCTTGCCACGTTCGAATTTCTATTATAGAAGTAGTTACATTTATTTTAATTTTATTTTCTTGTTTTTTCTGTCATAAATTATTATGCCTTCTACATCAAACACATCTGTTGATAATTATACCGGTACGAACGTATGTTCAAAGAGTGTACTAAATTGGCTTTACCGTTTGTAATGCTAGACTCTGAGATATAGACTCAAGTGTATGTTCTGAGTCGATTTAGCTTTGTCTGTCCGTCTGCCACCTAATTTTCACAAATTATTTATTAAAGTAAATTGCTGAACCCTATTTAAATTGAATATGATCTGGGTACTGGCTCGGGTATAAAATTTCAAAATTTATTTGACTATATCTTAGAAACTATGAAAGCTTTGGTTGTAACTGCTTGGCTCCTTCTGGTAGCTGCCACGAAACTTCAAAAGTTATTTGGCTATATCTCAGAAACTGTAAAAGCTGTGGTATTGAAATTTCGCACAAGTATTTATATAAGTAAGGCCAATTTGTTGATAAAATTCGTTGAAATTGCCTGGCTCTTTCTGGTAGCTGCCATACAACCTAGCTATAGCTTAGCTTAACTATAGTAGTTTGGCTATATCTTAGAAAATATTGAAAACACAGTACTGAACACAGTAATATGGCAACTAAAAGTCATAGTCTGTCCTATAGTCACCTATGACATATTTATTCACACATAGGATAACAAATTCGTACGGGTATCGCGTAGTTGACGCGGTCAACTCTATTTCTTCTCCTTTTTTTTTTCTAATTTTAGCAATATGAATATTTAAAAAATGTACATTGTTCATCAAAACATTAGAAGTTTAAGAAAGAATTTTGAATCTATGTTGGCAAACCTATCGCTCTGTAGTATTAAATATAAAGTCAAATAATATTAAATAAAAGTTTTTAATTTGAATTGTGTCAGTGCTGATTTTATTAAAATTGTTTGTGAGATAGAGAAGGAAATTTGTTCATATTCAGCTGTATTTGTTCATATAGGTTTCATAAAAATAATGTGAAATTTGTTCGTTCATGATCTTGCTGTTTTACTATACGAGACAAAATTTTAGTGCTGGGTGACATGAATATAGATACTCTTGCATCTTCTAACGGTGTTGACGATTATTTTTTATATCTTCAAGAGGCTTTTCCTCCGCAATAAATCAACTAACACGTATCGGTCCTACCAGTTCTACACGTGTAAATCATATTTTTGAAATAATAAGTAATTATTTTGCGGATTGTATTAGTGCAAATGTAGGTTTGACTTGTACTTCTGATCACGCTTTTTTAAATGTGTGGAATTCTTTTAATACCTTCTAGTAGTAGTTTTAGTTCACAGAAATTTTATAATTTAGTGAGATTAACTTCGAATCTTTGATTTCTTCTTTGGTTTATTGGAATCGGATATTTCTGTGACTTTTGAGATATTTTTAAATATCTTGTCTGAACATATCGGCAGTTGCATTTTTCTCCGCAGTTATTCAAACAGTAAAGTGTTTACTTAATAAACTCTAAGAGAGAATTTGAGGCAGGTTGTTAATTTTTTTTTAATTGGAAAAAAAAGCAAACTATTTTTCAACTAAACATAAATGATAATTTTGTCAGCGAATCATTTGAAGTTGCAAATCATTTTAATGAATTCTTTGTAACTGTTGCACCAGGTCTTTTTTGTCTCATTAAAGTTTTATTGAAAATGTTTGTTGTATCCTCGATTTGACTAAATAGTTTCTTATTTGAACCAATCTTTGGTTTTGAATTCCTTTCGAGCATAACAAGTTTAAATAACTCTTTATCTTGTGGTATTGACGGCACTAGTAGTTTGATTTTAAAAAAAATTAAATTTCAGGTGGTTGACATTCTTGTGTATTTGTTTTATCACAGTATCAATGAAGTTAGATTTCCGGATATTTTAAAACGGGCTGAAATTATTCCTTTATTTTATTGAAGTTATTTTTTAAGGAGGGTGATCCATATAGCAACCCACTTTTAGTCAGTTTGGCTAGTTTTAAAAGTGCATCAGACCATTCAGGTGCGTTTTAGGTTGAGTTAAACTCCCCCACTATTGACAGGTCTGATGACAGTATCTTTGTCTTTCGATGTTTTTTAACACCCATTCTAACATCTGCGAAAGGAACAGGTCGAAATTAGGAAAGGTCGGGCGTGTATAAACCAATCTAATACCCTGCGATTGATTGCGAGGAATACGGACCCCAAGAGTGCCACATAACATAGTGTATAGAGACCTGGTAAGAATGGAAAAAGATGTAAACTAGGTATACCAACTTTCACAGACACTTTAAAGCGTCTTGTTAGAATAGGTGATGAGAAAATCATCAACGTCACCAAGAGGTATTCAGTGGTGTTCCATCAAACGCTTGGGAGTTGGGCCTCAAGATCAACTAAGTAAAAACAAAATCAGTTTGCATCTATTATAATAAAGTAGGCAGCTTTAAAAGAAAAAAAGCGTGAAAATGTACAGAACTACACATATTTTCTCGCAAAAATTAAAATGTTACCAAACTCTTTTAGCTATTAAGAAATATAATAAAATAAGTTTTGTAAAAAGCTTGGTACTTTTATATACTTTTCTTGAATTTTATAGAAAGGTTTAAAAAATTATTTGATTTTCAAAATAAGTTTTTTTAACAATTTTTTGATTACAATCAAAATGACACAACTTTTTTGTTGGGCAAAGTGTAACACTGCCTTTTAGATATTGAAGTAATTACCTTGTTTAACTTATAATCTAATATGGCTTCCATTAATGGGGTTGTACTTCTAGCTAACCAATACAAATTTACTAAGCGTCCTTGAATTTCGTGTTTTTCGTAAATTGGAGTTTCGGGTTCTAATATGACATAAACTTTTGCATAATCGCTTCCAAGTGAATTCTATAAAATTTAAAACAAATAATTGTATTCGTGTATCATACAAACAATATTTTGCTTAAAAAGGGGGTTTACTTTGGTTTCACAATAATATGCTCCTAGATCGGTTTTTTCATTAATATTTCTTATATGTAAAACTGATCGATTTCTGTGATTGTGGACCGAGTTTTTTATTTTATATTTATCTGATACAATCGGTATTACGTTCGAATTTTGCTTCCATTCAATTGACGCGATTGGATTTGCATGAAAATCACAATATAAATCAGCATGATAACCAAGTTTTGTATTAACATGATGTCGATGTGTTGAAGTTTTTGGTTTATATAATACATTGATATCGACAAAAGTTACTGGTAAATCACTATTTTTACCAGGTATATCACCTAAACATTGATAAGTTCCAGCATGTCGGGCATCAACATGATTAATACCAATACGATTATGTTCAACTCGAGCTCCATGTTGATGTATATTGCCACCCTAAAAAAGGCAGTATCGTACAAGTAAATTGAAGTTATAAACTTATTGAATTTATAATTAAACTTACATTTAGTGACCATTTAATTTTTACTCCAGTTTCATCTCCGTTATATTTACATTCAAGTGTTACATTGTCACCTTGTCGGTATGTGAATTGCTTTTTCGATGCTTCACGATCATTAACCGATATTACTACAGAATTCTTTTTCTCAACAATTAACGTAACACGATATTCAATTTCGTTTGGTAAAACGCGGCATTTATATTCATTATTATCATATGGTGATACATTAATTATTTTTATGCCATTATCTGCACCTGCTTCAATTCGGCTTTGTGTTAAAATATGGCGATTTTGTGCAATAACTTGCGTTGTATTAAACCAGAGTATAACATTAGAACCTTTAAAATAAATGGCATTCGATATAATGATATTTTAGTGAAAATATACGATGCAGTATGTGTAGTGTAATACATCATAAATTTTTATACTTACTTTTCACATTTAATACATCACATGGTAACGTTACATCATCACCGGTTTTTGCTCTAATAGTGATAGAATCAGAATCAGTCCTTAATCGTGGCGGATCGTCTATAACAGCTTCATTTGTGGATATTGCATTTGAATCAGGTTTTGATCGATTTTCTTCTTCGTAGTCACTATAATCATTATATTCATCTTCCAAATAATCATCTTCATTAGATACAGCTTTGGCATAACCTATGTTGTAAAATAAAGTAGAAGAAGAAGTAATTAGCAATACATTGAAGTAAGCAACATTGGAATTGCTCCAAAATAAAGTTTAATCAAAACAATAGTTTGTAATGTAGCACTTTTCCCTTCAACAATTTAAAATACTGCTCTTAAAAACAATCTTTGTACTGTGTAAATTACTTTCATTCATATACGAAATTATTTTAAGGATTGCATACATTTAGGATGAACAACGTGTGCAATGTTTGAAATAAAACAGAACAAAAATTGAAGAGGCGTTAACATGAAAAATAATTATAGTTTTTTATAACATAGTATTTACCGTTAGCGCTATGTATATATAAAAATTCGTAATAGTTTGCAGTTTCAGAAATATAAGGCGTGGAGGTGGAAACAATTTTTTGTTATTAGTTAATAATTTTGTCTTGCTCAATTTTCTAATAAATTAAAAAATTATTAACTTATATTTGTTAAGTGAATTCGTAAATTCTTTAAAATTTAATTATTTTTGGATATTGAATTGCATTATCTACTTTTTTAGAATAGGTAAAAAGAACAATTTATTTACAAAGAACATGTATTTTATTGTAATTTTGCGCTTTTTTTTGTGTAACGCTTGCTTATTTTGACAAAAAATGTACAACCGTCGTACGTCGTTATTTAGATTATACACTTACGTAGTTGTAATGTAACGTATTTTGGTTAATGTTTAGATAGTAATTAGTAACAATGTTTACGTCACATAATAGCATCTAGCCTACCACAACAACGCTACATTCGGTTTTTTTTTTTAAAAATTTACTATTAAAAAAATTCGGTGTCCGTGCATATAATTTTTTTGAATAATTTTTGTGAAATTTTGATTTGAAACTTCAACATTAAAACACAAAAAAAAGTTTGTTTTTTTTTTTTTCAATAATTGCAGCAAATGCACACAAATTGCAGGTTGCAGTAAATGGTATTAAATTGCAGCAGAAGTTTGCAATTGCAGCAAAAATGACAGCGCTGAAACTACCTATAAATGGACATAGGCTATAAAATTTCTTAAATCTAACTTTATTATTTTTCTCAATATTGAAAATTCGCTTTCAGAGTTGTTATTGCAATAACTTCCCGAACGTGTCAAACCATTCCAGAAAAGCTTTGAGGATATACCTTGGCTATAATTGGACACGCGACTTTAAATTTCATGCAGCTATCTTTATTATTTTTTCCAATACTTAATATAGGCTTTAAGATTATATGGGAGCTACCCGATCCTATCAAGTCATTCCATAAAAACTTTGAGAATATTTCTGAACTTTAATTGGACACATATGACTGCCAATTTTCATGAATCTTTGTTATTTTTCCGAACATATATAAAAATATCTTCTGAACTTTTATGGCAGCTACCCGAATTAGTCAAATAATAATATGGTCCTTCATTGGCAGAAAAGATACAACTTCTAAAGAGTTGGCCGTATTTGCTATATTCGTTTTTGAGTTACCGGGCGATCGAACGGACGGACAAACCTGTTTAAAAAAGAATTTTACAGTGAGCAAGAATATATGTACATGTCTATACTGCAAAAAACTCATTCAACTGGTTACAAATTCTGTACAAAGGTACAGGGTAGAATGATATAATGTGCGATAAAAAAATGAATTTAATTGAGAGTTTGTATAGGTTTGGAGAAGGTTTTTTCAAATAAAGAAGTGATAAAAGAAAAAAAATATCAAAAGAAAAAAAAATCTGATGTAGTCAGCACATAGTTGACCGCAATATATATGGCCTAGTTTAGTGAAAGTGTTATATAGTACTTTAATAATCTTTTATTTAACATACCAAGAAAAGTGTAAATTTGGTTCTTAGTAGAATTTAGTTTTGTGTCACCTGATTTCCCCAGTTAGTTTCGGTAAGAACTAGAACTCAAATATCAATTTCTAATAAATACCATCAATCCCTTCCGTAGACACGGAAAAAAATGTAAATACGTCTCCTAATTTAGTTTCCGAACCCTGATCTTTCCAAAAAATTCATAGATTTATTGCTTCAATACCCCGAATTTGAATATTAAATTTCAAAGAAATTGGTTGATTATTTCTCTTTATATACGCAAAAATGTGAAATTGGCCAAAAACTCGACATCCTAAGTTTGATGCCATCACATAACCTACCTTATTGTATACACTGCGATTATAAGGAACGGATGGCGATAATAAGGAAACGAATAGAAAGTTACTAGGTTTAAAGAGCTGTTGCAGCATAACATAACAGTGTGATACAATAGTGTGAACTGATACTTACAGTTCAAAACGTAAATGTTTGCATAAAAAAGAAAGGAAGGCATCAAAGATTTTTATACTCTGAGACAAACACTCAAGTGTATGTTTTGATAAGCGTCGAATTCTGAGTTGATTAAGCTTTGTCTTCCCGTCCGTCCCAACGATAACTCAAGAACTAATTGAGCTCACCAAATTTTCACAAATGATTTATTGTAGTAAATGTCACAACCTTATTCAAAGTGAATATGATTGGGGTACCGATTCGGGTATACCACTCGCCAATTCGAGGCACTGGTTCGGGTATACAACTTCAAAATTTATTTGACTATGACTTAGAAACTATGAAAGCTTTGGTATTGAAATTTCGCACATATAAATATATTAGTACTGCCAATGTGTTTAGTAAAAGTCGTTGAAATTGCTTGGCTACTTCTGGTACTTGCCATACAACTTTAAAAGTTATTTGACTATGTCTCAGAAACTGTAAAAGCTATGGTATTGAAATTTTGGCATAAGCGAATATATTAGCAGGACCAATGTGTTTGATAAAAGTCGTTAAAATTGCTTGAATTTTTCTGGTAGCTGCCATAGAACTTCAATAGCAGTTTGGCGATATCTTAGAAAATATTGAAAACATGGTACTGAAATTTTACATGAATGAATATGGTAATACGGCAACTTAAAGCCATAGTCTGTCGGCATATTTATTCGCAACTAGAACAACAAAATCGTACGGGTATCACAGAGTTGACACGGTAAACTCTATTTTTTCTCGTTTAAAAGAGAAATTGAGCATTTGCCGAGACAAAATTGATAAAAATGTTATTTGTTCCAACACTAATAAATTTAAACTCAATTTTAATTTAATTGTAATTTTCGAAGATAGTGATGTGTCTATGCCTGTTATACATATGTAACAGACTTATGTTACAGACGATTACTGCAACCTCCTAATAAAAGAAGTAATTTAATTTACATATCTTTTCAAATTGTTTATTTTTTTATTAATTAAATTTAATTTAATTAAATTTCTTTAAAATATTTTCTTTAATTCTTAATCATGATTATCATCAGCATGCAACCCATAATGACTTTACAAAAACAAAATAAAAATCAATATAAGAGTTAAATATGTAAAAATAAATTTTCACACCCAATCGTTATATAAGTTTTCAATCTTGGATCTGTCCTAATATATTTTTTTTTGAAAGTTCATTACACGATTAGCTCTCTTAGTTCAATTTAAGTGTTCCTCTACAATTATATTGAAAAAATCCAATATGTTTATATGTATAATTTCTAAAGTTCTTTTATTTTAAGAACTGAAACATTTGGAATAGAAAAATGGAATACATCAAAAAATAGAAAAAAAAGAATTATCAAGATTATTGTAAGTGTAAGTACCTATACAGAATACTATAAATTTCAAGCTATAATATTAAGAATAATAAAACTGAACAAAGTGATCCTTCACATCCAAACTCTTATTAGTGACCAATACCATAAATTTCAAGAGCACTACGCATTATTACCGCAGCTTCTTTTATTGTTAATATAATAAAGCTCTTCTATTTTAAAATCTCCTATCTATATTATACAGCAAGATGACTTCTTAATTTCATGAGAATAATTCGATATGGTACATATATACTATATTTATATACACTGCCATATTATTTTTTTTATAGATCTACGTAATATACATACATATAGTGCCACATGTGGCGTTCTGTTATTATAATAACATTTTCTTGCATATTACAAAAATTATACAAACATGTAAGTGTATTTTATATTGCACATATACAATACCGAATATTTTTTTATACCCGTACGAACGTATGTTCGAATGGTATACTATATTTGCCTTACCGTTTGTAACGCTAAGAAATAATGGCCCGAGGCATAGATCAAGTATATATTTTTAATCAACGTAAAATGCTGAATCGATTTAGCTTTGTCTGTCCATATGTTCGTCCTTCTGTCCGCCCGTTCCAACGATAGCTCAAAAACTAATTGAGCTAAGTTCACAAAATTTTCACAAATGATTTATTATAGTAAATGCCGAAACTCTTTTCAAATTATTTCTGATCGAATTACTGGTTCGGGTAGCTGCCATACAATTTCCAAATTTATTTGTCTATATCTCTGAAACTATTAAAGCTATGGTGTAGAAATTTGGCACAAGCGAATATATTAGTAGGGCCAATTTGTTTGATGAATGTCGTTGAAATTGCTTAGCTCCTTCTCGTAGTTGCCATACAACTGCAAAATTTATTTAACTACATCTTAGAAACTATAAAAGCTATTATATTGAAATTTCGCACAAGTATATATTAGTAGGACCAATGTGTTTGATAAAAGTCGTTGAAATTACTTGGCTCTTTCCGGTAGCAACTATACAACTTCAATAGTAGTTTGGCCATATCTTGGAAAATATATAAAACACAGTACTACGACAACTTAAAGTCATAGTCTGTCCCATAGTTAGCTATGGCATACTTATTCGCACATAGGAAAACAAATTCATACGGGTATCACAGAGTTGACACGGTCAACTCTATTTTTTCTCGTTTTATATGTATACATCTAAATGTTTTATGTTTGGATTCATTATTTTTATTGCTGCACGCTTATAGCATGCATTAATAATTCGTTGTCTCATCAATCTTCTTGATATCAATGAGAACGATTTAAAGAGAAGAAAACAACAAATAAAAATTAAGAGAAAAAATTTA